ATTTCTTGTAAATTTGATCTATCTACCTTTATCACAATTAGATGTGATTTTAGGTATGGACTGGTTATCTTCCAATCATGTCATTCTCAATTGTGCAGAAAATCCTGTCCTGTTTTCTAATTCTAAGGAGCTATTGATTTCATTATCCAAACCAATAAGCACGTTTTCATGGGGTAAAGTTCAAGGATATTTAATCTTATCTTCTATGGAAGCTAAAGAGGAAGTTGATCTGAAAAACATTGTTGTTCAAAATTTTCCTAAAGTTTTTCCTAATGATATTCCTAGTTTGCCACCTGAGAGAGAAATTGAATTTTCAATTGATTTAATGCCTGGAATTGGACCAAATTCCATAGCACCGTATAGGATGTCACCTTTTGAATTAGCCAAGCTGAAGAAAAAATTAGAAGAGCTGCTTTAAAAATAATTCATACACCCTAGTGTATCACCTTAGGGGATTCTGTTTTGTTAGTTAAAAAGAAATATGGAAGTTTTAGGTTGTGTGTACACTATCGACAATTAAATAAGTTTACCATAAAGAATAAATACCTTCTTCCCAGGATAGATGATTTGATGGATCAATTGAGAGGAGCAATTGTGTTTTCTAAGATAGATTTAAGATCAGGATACCATCAAATTAGAAAGTGAAAGTAGAAGACATACAGAAAACTGCATTTAGAACAAGGTATGCCCATTATGAATATCAAATGATGCCTTTTGGAGTAAGCAATGCACCTGCAGTGTTCATGGATTATATGAATAGGATTTTTTGTCCGTATTTAAACCATTTCGTGGTGGTCTTTATAGATGATATCCTCATATATTCTCGAACTCATGAGAAGCATGAAGAACACCTTCAAACTATTTTTCAAATCTTAAAAGATAAACAATTGTATGCTAAACTTTCTAAGTGTGAATTTTGGTTAGAGGAGGTTAAGTTTTTAGGACATGTGATTTCCAACGACGGAGTGTCTGTGGATCCGTCTAAAGTAGAAGCAGTTCTACTATGGAAACCTCCAAAGACGGTGACAGAAATCCGTAGTTTTTTGGGTTTGGTAGGACATTATAGAAGATTCATTGAAAGATTTTCTAAAATAGCCATGCCTTTAACTCAACTCACTAAGAAAAGACAACCCTTTGAGTGGACAAAAAAATGTGAGAATAATTGTCAAGAGCTTAAGAAAAGATTAACCACTGCACCAGTCTTAGCCTAACCCAATCATAATGGACAATTTTTCATATTTTGTGATGCCTCAAAAATAGGATTAAGGTGTGTTCTTATGCAAGATAGAAGGGTAGTAGCATATGCTTCTAGGCAATTGAGAGCTCATGAAAAGAATTACCCAACCCATGACTTAGAACTAGCTACCATTTTTTTTGCACTCAAGATATGGAGACATTACGTGTATGGTGGTAAGTTTGATGCTTTTAGTCATCATAAGAGTTTAAAATATTTGGTTGATCAAAGGGAATTGAATATGAGACAATGAAGGTGGATGAAATTTTTGAAAGATTCTGATTTTGAATTACATTATCATCCAGGAAAAGCCAATGTGGTGGCTAACGCATTAAGTAGAAAATCTTTACATATCTCTTCATTGATGATTCATGAGATGAATTTGATAGAAAAATTTAGAGATATGAGTTTTTCAACTATGGTAAGTCAGGATAAAATACAATTGTATGCAGTTCAGATTATACTAGTTACTTACATGGACAAATCTGTAAGGCTCAAGTAGTAGATGAATTCATTTAGAAGAAGAAAAGATTGTTAGGACAAAAGGGTAGTGAAAAGTTTATAGATCAAAATGGAGTTTTGAGATTTAATGATAGGATATGTGTGTCTAATGATTCCGAAATTAAGAAAATAATTTTAGGTGAGACACATAAGAGCAAGTTGAGCATACACCCTGGGGCAACAAAAATGTATCAGGATCTCAAGAGAATGTTTTGGTGGCCTAAAATGAAAAAGGAGGTAGCACAATATGTAGCTACATGTTTGATTTGTCAGAAAGCCAAGATAGAACACCAAAAGCCAACAGGAATGTTACAACCCTTATATATACCTGAATGGAAATGGGAAAGTATAGCAATGCATTTTGTAGTTGGTTTACCACGAACAACACATAAGTTTGATTTCATATGGTTTATCGTGGATAGACTAACAAAATCTTCTCACTTCTTACCCATTAACATTAGGTATTCACTAGAAAAATTGACTGAACTATACATAAGGGAAATTGTACGGCTGCATGGTGTACCATCTAGCATAATATCTGACAGAGATCCTAGGTTTACTTCTAAATTTTGGGGAAGTTTACATCAAGCATTGGGAACTAAGCTTCGCCTTAGCTTTGCATATTATCCTCAAACAGATGGGCAATCAGAAAGAACCATACAATCCTTATAAGACTTATTGAGAACTTGTGTGCTAGAAGATTCTGGTAGTTGGGATCAATATTTGCCTCTGATTGAATTCACTTATAACAACAGTTTCCATTCTAGCATAGGTATGACACCCTATGAAGCTTTATATGGGAGAAAATGCAAAACTCATTTGTGTTGGTTTGAAGCATGAGAAAATTTAATCTTGGGTCCTGAAATGGTACAACAAGCCACGGAGAAAATCAAAATAATTCAGGAAAAATTGAGAACTACTCAAAGTAGAAAGAGAAGTTATATTGATAAAAGAAGACGACCTCTTGTTAAGTCTATATTCTAAGGTAAGGGGGAGGAGAACTTTATCTTTTTAAAATTTTATATGCTATTATGTTTATTTAGTTATGTTATATTTTATGTGTATTTACTTAGTAAGGTGTCCCTAACCTCACTTATTCGCTTAATCTAGAATAATTTTTACTCATAATAATTAATAAGGTGTTCCTAGTTTATGTTATGAAATTATTTTATATTGATTATCATTGTCATTTATTTGATTAGTACTCTTTAATACACTCCATTTACGCAAACTTTATTTTATTAAAGCTTAAATAATGATAAATACTCAAATTTATTTAGTTTAATTATTTTTATGTTAATATTAACTATAATATAGTTTTATTAAGAATATTTTAAACTCATCTTGTTGTTATTTCTTCATGCAAATAAATATTATTCTATGGTCATAAGAATGAAAGTTTGAATTAATTTGTAGCTGGAGGTTTACCTTCAGGATTTAAATGAGTAAAGATTTAAGGTAAAATAACCTTTAGTTATTTGTTATTATAATGTTCATTTATCCTAACTAGTTACTACAAGTATAATTTAAATTTTTATATAAAAAAAATGTATTAGTAGTAAATATTTCTATGCATATTATGTAATTGTTGATATTTATTGGATTATTGTTCTCACTTCTTATGTTTTCTTGTGTAATATATGTAATTAATTTATAAAAATAAATAAATAAATATAGATGAATTTCCCAGGGATTCCGACTCCTTTCGCTTTAGTGATATCCACGGTATTCTCTGGCACTACGTGGAGTGTAGATACTTTAGCAAACTCGGTCACCTTCAACAGAGTGGCAGTGTCATTTTTCACATTCTCTCCAAATCAAGAAGTTCCTACTATGATCAAAGGCCCTATAGTCGTTACTTTTTATTTACCTCCCGCAAACCACGTTAATCTATTGTAAATTTGTACCAGCTTAATCTGTAAATATTTTAATATATATATAAAAAGTAAGTAGCTACGCACGTAGTGATAAATATTTTTAGTTTAATATGTAATGGAATTGTAAGCTAATCATATGTAAAGGAGTTTGAAAAATATTTCTTTGTTATCACATATAATATTATTAATAATATACTTATCTTTTCAATCTATAAATATATATGTATATATATAAGTGTATAATATTGTGATTAATATGTATACAATTAGACGTTTCTAGTTTTTCTTTCTTTATTAATTTTTATGTAGATCATGGTGAGATTGTCTAACAATATAAATTGCAATCCTCTTCGACTACTTCCCAAAGATCTAATACTTTCAAGTATGACTCCATTAACATAATTAAAATTTTATGAAAATTAAATTATCCACTTTTAAATTAAAGATATTTAGACTTTTTTCAACGCAAGTTTCAATCAGAATAACAATGATCACCATGTCCAGAAACTAGAGCAACGTAGTTCCTTAAGAAAATAATCATTTAGTTGCTACTCTATGACAATCTTACACATTCCACCTTTTATCTAATGTCTTATCTATAAAATTGTAATGCACTTTAAAATTTTCCATCTCTAGCTTGTTCAGCACAATGGGAAATGAAAATCACTTTCTTGAGATTTCATCAAAGGGAAGGGATAGCTTGTTTTCTATGAATGAATTACAAAAAAGATTAAAGTGAATTTATGTCTAAACTATGGTGAAATTGTTTGACAATGGAAGAACATTGTAATCTTCTTCCATCACTTTTTCGAAAGATTTAAAATCTCTAGATGTGTCTTTATTTTTACTAGAGAAATGTAGCTTTTCCCATCAAATATAAAGGGAGGCAATTGTGAAAGATTTACCTGGACTCCCATTTTATAGGTTAGAAGAAGATAACTCTTGATACCAATTAATTGACTTTTTTTTTTTTGAAAGAAATAGTTTTCAAAAAAAAAATGTATTGTGCATAGGAGCTTATTAAACTTTTATTCCTAAACTCAAAATACAGAGTTTAAGGGCAACAAAAAACTTTAGATACTAATAGCATCCTAATCTTAAAAATAAACTGATAACATCTTTGAGTTTAGATGACAAGTACAATATTCTTATATTTATCTCAACAATATCTGAAAATTTTGAAATATAATTAAAAATTTATAAAATCTAAATTCTACATTTTCAAAACTGAAGATACTTGGATACATTTCAACAAAGGTTTCAGCTGGTATAACAACGATCAGCTTTTCCGGAGCAAGAACAATGCAGTTCCTTAAGAGAGTAGCTATATAGTTGTTACTTAATCTATGACAATCTGACATATTCGATCTATTATCCAATGAATTAGCTATAAAATTGTAATGCACATAATTTTTTTTCAATCTCCAGATAGCTCAGCATAAAGGGAAAGGAAAATCACATTCTTAATATTTCCATCAATATGAAGAGAAAGCTTGTATGCTATAAATGAATTACGAAAGAAATTACTCAACATTGTTTACACCAAGGACGGGAACAAGAAAGTATTGGTAGTATTTTATGTCGAGTTATTCATTCCAAATCTACTATCCCAAAATTCGATAGAAGGATCTTTACTTGATCAACAAAGTCTGAGCCTGTTGCATACTCTGTCAGCAACCCAACAGCAAAACCAAACATTGCCCATCTGCGGAAATGAAGTTACTGATTAGAAAGTCAAAATACAGCAGAACTTGCATAACAATGCAAATTTCAATTTGAGTGTGACAGGTATTCAATCAATAGAATGTCAATTATTGAACACAAGTTGGGAAAATGCTGCTTTGAACCTGAGCTACTTAGATTTTAACTACTGATATGAACGCAGATAAATGTCTCAGATATCCATAAAACAAGTCAATCGTTTCTATTCGTTTTCATCTCTGCACAAAGAAGATACTATAATGAATGAAACTTTATGTTTCCAATAGATTGTGATAGAAATCTTTCACAATGTTATTGAACATCACTCCATCTTAACAATTGTGACACTTCACACGGCCATTTTGAACTAAAAGGCCAAGACAAAATTGTAAAATTCCAGCCTCTGAAAATGTAAGTTTTGTGTTTGCATTAAAGTGAAACTTTTGCAGAACAATACATTGGTATCCTGAATTAGGCCAATTTTTGGTTATCCCAAATTTGGTATAGTATCCTCAAAGTTTAACCTAAAGAGCCCAATTTTCGCCAATTGAATTAGGGCAAGATAAAAGAAAGAAAAAAAAAATCTTAGCAATCCCCCTTGAAATTGAGGGAGAAAATAACACAAACTAATAAAATGGAAGCAATCAACCAATTGTACCATCATAAAGAAAATGCAATTAGCATAAACCCCACAAATAGAATAGCTCCAACTTTATTCTATTCCATTAGGGAAAAAATTACCTTCCATTGTTAATCTCATTTTTCCCTATGAAACCAAAAAAGGGACCCTGATTTGCTTCCTCAAGCTTCTTCTGTTTGAAGTATTCCTGCAACTCCTTAGCCCTTTGCCTCTGAAACTCTAGTGTAATGACACTCTTATCATCCCCAACAATACCTGGCTTCTGTGGGGGAGGCACCACTGAAGGGGATGGTGGAGGCTGAGAAGGAAGTGTTGGCTTCTGAAGCTGAGGGGCACTTGATGATGATGATGATGATGATGGTTCTCTTATTGGGGGTGCCACTGGCCTTCTCAGAGGCCCTTCAGCCTGAGAATTCCTTATAATCACACTGTGAGGCTTGGAAGAAGAGAACCTCAAAGAATAGGATGAAGTTGATGAAGTACAAGATGAACATGTTGGGATTTTGATGCATGGGAATGAAGCTGCCATAGACATTTTTCTTTTTTGTTTTTTTTTTCTCCTGATGCTAACTAACTATGCACAGATTTTTTTATTTTAATTTTATTCTGCTTTAGCCTTTTCTTCTATTGGCTTGGACTTTGTGGTACCTTATCAAAATCAGAGAACATGTGTGTGGATAAGGTATTACCAAGTTTCCACCAAAAAGTGGCTCAAGTTCAGTAGAGTTGTATGTGTCTTAACCACTGAAAGCTGTCCATGAATGTCGTTTATTACGTTTATTACTTCATCAACCATTGAATTTTGTCTGATTTTGGTGTAAGAGTACACAGAGGATAATAGATTCTACAATTTTTAAGGATATATGCCCAGTGGCCCCGATAGTTTGCTTTTGTTTTGCATTGGAACTTGGAAGGGTTATAATTGAAGATTTTAGTTAAAATTATTGTTCTCAAATCACTGATTAAACTATAATTTATTGATTAAACTTAATTAGTTTAGTGTAATAGTAAAAATATTTGGCTGATGTCGAGGGGTCCTTGAGGATGAAAAAACTATCGATCTAGTATATAAAATAAGCTAATTCGTAAGCTTCACTTAAATGCATTACCACACTTTTGAGTAAAAAAATATATGTATTTAGCTACTGATACTCGATTTGCATAGAAATATATAATCTTTATGTGTTTATCTAATAATACTTAATTTATATATATATATATATATATGTATATATATATATAATTGGATTTCAAAGTTATTAAAGCAAAAAAGTTATTATAGATGTAATATTACAAAATTATATACATACACATAATGTTGACCATGTTGTCTTTTTTTATTATTAATCTTCTAATTGTGACACCCTTAGTACCCCAACACATATATAATATAATTTAATTAAGAAGAATAAATTTTCAAAGGGTTCGTAAAAGGGTTCATCTCTCTAATCATAAGGAAAGATAAATATAAAGGTTTCCCACACAAAACATCGGTCACCACAATGACTTTACTCAAATAACAACTAAGTTCAAAATATTAGTCCTCCAGAAAGTTAAACTATCCATATTGAGTGTAAATATGTGTTTGATTTCAAAATTAGATAAGTTTTGATATGAATTAGAGTGCTCTGTGGGTTCCTGTGCGAAACCCTATGAGGAACAATTATGAGTATGACTATGTGAAATGTGAACAAATAACATGAGACATGATGTGAATGACGTGCTATTGTGAACACTATGACTATGAAAATGTGAAACGTGATGAAATGAGATAAGACATGAAATTCTATGAAAGGTGAAGTGATAAGTCCATGAGTTTGTGAATGTGTGACTTGCATCATATGCATTTATGTGACGGGGTACGATATGGAATACATCGTTAGGGAAGGCCCTCCAAGTGTGAAACATCTTGGAGGAGTCCTAGGGGATAGTGCAGTTTGGAAGGCCCAGTTCTGCCCATTTGTGTGCATGGGACATATCTTGCGCGGCTTCGCTATCTCGACGAGACCCTAGCAGTACATCCTTCTAGTTAAGAGTGCACAGTTGAGTCGGCATGTACTCCTAGATTACTTCAGGTATGTTGCTTCGGCAGTATACCACGTGATATGTAATTTTGAGACACGTGACTGGCACCACATGATGCATTTATAAGTCGAGTCCATGACATCAGCATGAGGATGTTGGTGATGAATGATTGTGTATGTGTTATTGTTGTATGTATAATTTGAATTGCACTTGATTAATGTGTAACTATGGCTGTGCTTGTTATGATTTGTGTGTGTGTTGCCTAACTTTTATTTTTACACCTGAAACCGAGTGAGATGTTTCTCACTCCCTTGTTGTTCTTTTGTATGTGTTTAAATTGTGTTGCAGGTGATCATCAGCATGTGGATATTGGTGATGAGGCTAAAGCTGCAACTGGGCATGCTCTGATAGGATATGTGACATCGGGGCATAGTTAGGCTTAGTTTAGGATTTCATTATTTTTATTTTGTTTTGGAAAAACTCATGCTTCAATTTTTTTATAAATTCCACATTTGACCATGTTTTAAGTTTACGAATGTGAATTATCTACTCTTATGTTAATGGAACCATTGTCTTAATTCTAAAGATTTTATTTAACCCAAGAATATGTTTTTATAATTATTGTATATGTATGTTGGGGTAGAGAGTGTCACATTTAGTGGTATCAAAGCCTGGTTGATTCAAACCGGATGTATATGTTATGTGCTTATCATGATTATGTTGTGTACTCTGACAATGTTTTGCTTGTTGTGTACTTTGATGATGATGATGATGATGATGATGATGATGATGATGTTCTCCTTGTGTTGATATTGTTGAGTTTGATACTGTTAGATTATTTTGTAATTAGAGGAATGATAGACATGATAGTGTTAGCTAATATCATTATGACTGCTCTTCTTCATTCTCATGATTGCTTGTTTGTTTGATACTTCTTGCCTACGTAAAAAGTAGTGGTTGGGTGGTATCGCTCGTGTTGCAAGCATATGTACGAGTAATAGTGGACGAAACATTGTGCTAATCAACTAGAAACTATTGGAACCTTAGGTTGGGTTGAGACATCGATCTGTTGAAAGCATTAAGATTCTATGGTTGGTAGAGTTTATGAAATCTATAGCTGTAGCGGTTGAATCCAAGGAGGTTGTAAGTTGAAAATTGGAGTTTGGAGTGTTCTTGATGAAAGGCTGAAATGTTGGTGATTTCTTGAGTTTTGATGCTTGCATGATAACCTTTTATGGATTAGGTTGCATGAGGACTTTATTTCAGATTCTAAGTCTTTTGTGCTGAATATGTGAGTTGTTTTGGTTTAGGATTGTAGGGGGAAGGTTAGATAGGGGTTTGGAAGTGTTTTAAAGTATTTTCGTGGCCATAGATTTTGGTACACTCTTTTGCTGTCTGATGTAGGGGATGTTTTCGCTTCAGTTTTGTTGTGCCAGTATAAGTACTTTATTGATAGAATTAGTTTTTGTAGTCTTCATAAAAGTTGTAGCCTTGGATGTTATCTTTTCAATGGAACCGAAATCAGGTAAAACGGAGGTCTAGAAATCCATTTATGGCTGTTTTAGTGAACAAAGGTCTAGCTGTTAGCGCTGATTATATCAGTTACGGTTTTTGAAAATTTTAGCTAAGTAGATGATCTTTTTAGAATTTCATACCTTCATAAGAGTTGTAGCTTATTCTCTTATATTTCTTTTGAGATAGGTTTGAGATCATTTGGATGAGTATAACTCTTTATGTATTATTTTCTTTGACAGTTGTTGAAGGGATATGTATGCTATCATGATGTTTTTGAGTTATTAGGCAATGCAAGGATAAAAAATGATTTTGTTATGATGTTCTGAGGTGTTGTTATTTAGATTGAGAGGTTGTTTAAGATTGTATGATGCTATGTGATAAATTTGGTTCATGTACATGCTATATGGTGTAAAAGGTGATTGATTCATACATGCTTAGGGATGATATATATATGAATGTTTAAATAGGTATTCTAATATGATTTGATATGTGTGTATGTTGATATGAGGATAAATGACTTTATGGATCAATTAGCGAATGTTTGTATGTTTAGTAAGATTGATCTTAGGGTGTGATATCATCATATTGGAGTTGAGGACGAGGATATATCTAAGGCATCTTTATGCTAAGTTATCTAAGTGTGATTTTTGGTTGTAAGAGGTGAGTTTTCTAGGTCTTGTAATTTCTAGTAGAGGTATAACGTAAATCTATCTAAGATAGAAGTTGTGCTTAAGTGGGAGATACCTAAGTCAGTTAGTGAGATTAGAAGTTTTCTTCGGTTAGTTTATTATTATAGGAGATTTATTGAGGAAATTTCTAAGATGACATTACCTTTGACTGGATTGACCAGGAAGATAGTTGCCTTTATGTGGGATAGTAAGTGTTAGAGTAGTTTCCAAACTTTTAAGGAAAGATTGACTAGTGTGCTAGTGTTAATATTACCAGATTTTAGTAAGTCTTTTGTGGTATATTGTGATGCTTCTAAGTTGGATTTGAGAGGAATTACCCTACCCATGATCTTGAGTTAGCGGCTGTGATATTCAAATTTTAATTTTGGAGACATTACTGGTATGGTTCTAAATTTGAGGTGTTTAGTAATCATAAGAGTCTTAAATATTTGTTTGACCCGAAAGAGTTAAATATGAGATAAAAGAGATAGTTGGAATTTCTTAAGGACTAGGATTTTAATCTTAGTTATTATCTAGGTAAAGCCAATGTGGTGGTCGATGCTTTGAGTAGGAAACCTCCACATTTAACTTTCCTTAAGATTAGGGAGATGGACCTTTTGGCTCGGTCTAAGGATTTAAATTTGACTTGTGAGATTACTCGTAGTAATGTGAAACTAGGTATGACTCGAGTAACGAATGGATTATTGAAGGAAAATGAAGAAACATAATTAGTTGATTCATTTTGGTGACAAGACTTGGAGACCGAGTATGAGTACGTAGTTAACTTACACTTAAGCGCTTAATCCTTAGAGAGGGTCAAGTAAAACTAATATTGTGGCAGATGCCTTGATTAGGATAACCATTCACCTATCATCTTTGATGATTTAAAGGTTGGATTTGATTGAAGAGTTTAGAGACTTAAGCTTGGTGTGTGAGCTTACCCTTAGGAGCATTGAATTGAGTATGTTAAAAATGACTAGTGAATTAATGGATGAGATTAAAGAAGCCCAGGAGTTAGATCCTTTCTTAGTGAACCAAGTGGAGAGGATTGGTAAGGGTATAGATAGCCCTTTACAAGTGGAAGTTGATTGTGTTTTGGGGTTCAAGGATAGAATCTATGTGCCTAATAATCCCGAATTAATGAATGATCTTAGAGGAAGGACATAAGAGTACTCTTAGCATTCAATTAGGAGCTACTAAGATGTATCAGGACCTTATGGAGATATTCTGGTGGCCTAAGGTGAAGAGAGGAGTAAAGGAATTTGTGTTCTTGTGTGTAGTATGCTTGAAGTCTAAGGTAGAACACTAGAAGTCTTTAGGATTTTTACAGCCTTTAGACGTCCCAATTTGGAAGTGAGATGGTGTGTAGATAGACCTTGGTTGTAGGTTTGCCTAAATATGCTTAAGAAATTTGATTCTTTTTGGGTTATAGTGGATAGACTCACCAAG